CTGACACCAACGATGAGCACTATTCCTCCCACTGACACCAACGATGAGCACTATTCCTCCCACTGACACCAACGATGAGCACTATTCCTCCCACTGGGGACACCTCCTAACGCCATCGATGGGGCACTATTCCTCCCACTGACACCAACGATGAGCACTATTCCTCCCCCAACTCCAAAACGATGAGACTCTTGCTCCTACTACACCCGAGACACCAACGATGGGGCACCCTTCCTCCCCCCGACACCATCGATGGGGCACCATTCCTCCCCCCGACACCCCACCCTTCCTCCCCCCCGACACCAACGATGGGGCACCCTTCCTCCCCCCCGACAGCACTAACGACACCAATGGGGACACCCTTCCCCCACCCCGACACCCCACGATGGGGCACCCTTCCTCCCCCCCCGACACCAACGATGGGGCACCCTTTCTCCCCCCCCGACACCAACGTTGGGGCACCCTTCCTCCCCCCGACACCAACGATGGGGCACCCTTCCTCCCCCCGACACCAACGATGGGGCACCCTTCCCCCCTCCCAACGTGACACCAACGATGAGGGGCACTATTCCTCCCACTGACACCAATGTCGGGGCACTATTCCTCCCACTGATGATGGACACTATTGCTCCTACTAACCCCAATGATGGGGCACCATTCCTCCCCCCGACACCCCATCGATGGGGCACCCTTCCTCCCCGACACCAACGATGGGGCACCCTTCCTCCCCGACACCAACGATGGGGCACCCTTCCTCCCCGACACCAACGATGGGCACCCTTTCTCCCCCTGACACCAACGTTGAAGCACCCTTCCTCCCCCTGACACCAACGTTGGAGCACCCTTCCTTCCCCTGACACCAATGATGGGGCACTTTCCTCCCCCTGACACCAATGATGGGGCACTATTCCTCCCACTGACACCAACGACGGGGCACAAATCTTTCCATTGATACCAAAGATAGGGTAGCACTGTACCTAAACGGTTAGCACTTCCACCTAGCAGCACTGGGGTCATCAGTAACCCTCTAGCTCCATCTTTCACTCTTCAACTCATCTTCAATCTTTCCCTTTTTATTGGCATGTTCCCCAACTCTCTAACACATGCACTAGTCACCCCCATACTTAAAAAAGCCTTACTGGACCCCGTCAATCTTGGCAACCCAAGACCCATCTCCTTACTCCCTTTTGCCTCCAAACTCCTTGAACGTCTCGTCTACAACCAGCTGAGCTGCCACCTCATTGCGAATAACCTTCTCCATCCCCTTCAGTCTGGATTTCCCCCACAACACTCCACAGAACCTGCTCTCCTAAAACTCACAAATGACTTACTAACCGCTAAAACCAATGGTCACTATTCCGTACTCTTACTCTTTGACCACCCCCTCCTCCAAAAATTCTACTGGGTCTCCATGACTGTACTCTCCGTTGGTTGGGATCTTACCTATCTCACCGCACCTTCAGTGTCACAACTCTACCTCCTCCTCCTTACTGTCAGGGTCCCCCAAGGTTCTGTCCTTGGACCTCTCCTGTTCTGGATCTACACTTCCTTGGGTCAGCTGATAGCTTCCCATGGTTTCCAATACCATTTCTATGCTGATGACACCCAAATCTATTGCTCTACTCCTCAGCTCCCCCCATCAGTTTCCTCACGTATGACCGATTTACTAACAGACATAACAGACTGGATGTCACTCCACTTCCTAAAACTCAATCTATCCAAATCTGAGCTCATAATATTTCCTCCCCCACGTGCCTCTTCCCCTGATTTCTCGGTCAGGATCAATAGCACCACTATCAACCCATCCCCGCATACCAAGGTGCTAGGGGGAACCCTGGATTCTGAACTATCCTTTCAGGTCCACATCCTATCCCTGTCCAAATCCTGCCGCCTCAACCTCCGCAACGTCTCCAGAATACGTCCCGTTTTAACCAATAATACCACAAAGCTCCTAATTCACTTCTTGGTTATCTCTTGACTCGATTACTGCAACTCCCTCCTCATTGGCTTACCTTTACGTAGGCTATCCCCCCCCCCCCCTCCAGTCCATCATGAATACTGCCAGGCTCATCCACCTTAACCTTTTTAGTGTCCACTTTTTGCCAGTGTCCACTGCTCCATTCTTTCTCTGCCAATTCCTCCACTGGCCTCCACTCAGTGTCCTCTCTGGCACTCCCTTCCACCCCTCCCTCTGTGCCAATCCCATCCACTGGCCTCCATTCAGTGTCCTCCACCCCTCTCTGGCAATCCCTTCACTCCCTTCAGTGTTCACCCCCCTGCCAATCCCTCCACTGGCCCACTCAGTGTCCTCCACCCCTCTGTCCCTCCACTGCTTCAAGTGTCCCCACCCCTTCCACTGGCCTCCATCAGTGTCCTCCACCCCTCTCTGTCAATCCCTCCATTCAGTGTTCTCCCCCCTCTCTGGCAATCCCCACTGGCCTCCATCCCTCTTTGCCAATCCCTCCACTGGCTTCCATTCAGTCGCCAATCCCACTGGCTTCCACGAATAAAATTCCTAATACAACAACTTACAAAGCCATCCACAACTCTGCACCCGACTACATCACCAACCTGGTCTCAAAATATCAACCAAACCGCTCTTCCATCCTCCCAAGACCTTCTGGTCTTTAGGTCCTGTCACCTCCTGCCATGCCCGCCTCCAGAACTTCTCCCGAGCTTTTCCCATCCTATGGAACTCCCTACCCCAATCTGTCCAACTATTTTCTAATCTATCCATTTTTAGATGATCCCTGAAAACTTCTCTTTAACTAGTAAACTGCCTTTTTTTTTCCTCCATCAGCTCACCCCCCACCAACTAATTACCTTTTGTATCCCTCAACCTTTCCTCCTAGATTGTAAGCTCTAACGAGCCGGGCCCTCTGCTTCCTCTTATACCAAATTGTATTGTAACTGTAATATCTGCCTTCATTTTGTAAAAGCACTGAGCAAACTGTTGGCGCTATATAAGTCCTGTATAATAATAATACTCATCTTTTCAGTTTTTCACTAGTTTTGCATTTGGCTAGCGTCAGTGTCATTACTGGTAGCATGAGGCGATCCCTGGACCCTACAGAGGTTGCTCAGGCAGTCCAGCTCCTCCAGCACGGCACATCAACACGTGCCATTGCTAGAAGGTTCGCTGTGTTTCCCAGCACAGTCTCAAGAGCATGGAGGAGATTCCAGGAGACAGGCAGTAACTCTAGGAGAGCTGGACAGGGCCATAGAAGGTGCTTAACCCATCAGCAGGACCGGTATCTGCTCCTTTGTGCAAGGAGGAACAGGATGAGCACTGGCAGAGGCAGAGAAGATGATCTCCAGCAGGCCACTGGTGTGAATGTCTCTAACCAATCAGAAACAGACTTTCTGAGAGCAGGACATTCTCTAGTGGGCACTGTGCTCACTGCCCAGCATCATAGAGCTCAATTGGCATTTGCCATTGAACACCAGAAATGGCAGGTCCACCACTGGCACCCTGTGCTTTTCACAGATGAGAGCAGGTTCACCCTGAGCACATGTGACAGACATGAAAGGGTCTGGAGAAGCCGTGGAGAACGTTCTGCTACCTGTAACATCGTTCAGCGTGACCGTTTTGGTGGTGGGTCAGTGATGGTCTGTAATAAGCTCACCTCTGTCCATGACCTTTTAGTCTTCCACTCCCTTAACCTACTAGCAATTACAGAAACCAGGCTCCCAGTAGCAGATTCTGCTTCTCCGGCAGCACTTTCTTATGGAGGCCTCTACTGGACTCACCCAGACCCAGTGGTCGGAAAGTTGGTGGAGTTGGTTTGCTTCTATCCCCACTGAGCACCTGTCAAGTCCTTCCTACCCCTCCCTCTCTATCCTCTTCTTTAGAGACTCACTGCATCCGGCTATTTTTTCCCATTTCTCTGATGATTGCAGTGATCTATCAGGTCTCCTGGACCGGTGTCCTGCTTTCTTGATAACTTCTCTACCTGTCTACCCTACTTTCTCTCCTCTGAACTACCCACTATCATTCTCAGAGATTTTAACATCCCCATTAATGTCAACAACCCGGCTACATCCCAACTCTTCAACCTAACCTCATCTTTTGTCTTAACACAATGGACACAGTCCTCCACTCACTGTGATGGGAATACATTAGCCCTCGTTTTCTCCCATCTTTGCACTCCCTACTTTCCTCTCTCTGATCACAATCTCATCACCTTCACAGTGTCCTCAATTTCAAACATTTATCCCTCCAAGCAGCAAAAAATTGCCCGCAGAAAACCTTCACAACTTAAACCCTTTTTTCCCACTCTGCAAGCTGCCTGTCAGAATATCGGCTTGACCGCACATCCCATACGGCAAGCAGATATACTGACAGGTCTGCAGGAGACCTGCATGGCATCAGCAACTGCTGATCGCTGGTGCAATGCCTTACAGGCTCCTTTGGACAAAAATAATAAATGCACATTTTTTTTTACCTGCAAAAAAGATGTGCATTTATTATTTTTGTCCAAAAGGTGAACTTATCCTTTAAATAGTCACTAAGCAATATTCACCAGTGCAAATGTGTTTAATATACAGACACAACTGAAGATGTCCAATAAGAGAAAACTAGTTGAAGCCTCGGTCCCCAGCCGATACGTCACATCCCATCCCTGGAGCGCACACCAGATTCAGGACTCAAGGCAGCGGCAGCCATCTTAGCCATAACAGCTGTATGTGCCTGGTGCTAACCTTAGACACATATATACTGTACGTGAGTGCGGTGCAAGGTTTTGTATGGTTTAATAAAGTCGGCTGCTTTGCGCAATGACCCTTTTCCCGATACTGTTTTTTGAGTGGCGATGTATTGCATTGGAAGAAACCACATCCTGGAACATATGGTCAAGTTGGTGGCAAGACACACATGGATCCAACCAAAAAAGCACAGTGAGACCTATCTAGTAATAGAAGGTCCATCCATTGTGGACAACTATAAAAAATTGCTAATTAACATGTTACTAAACCCAGGATCCTACATTCACTATATCTGTCTCCCTGGACCCTGCATTCACTATATCCGGTCTCCCCGGACCTTGCATTCACTTTATCTGTTCTCCCCGGACCCTGCATTTATCTCTGGTCCCCCGGACCCTGCATTCACTATCTCTGGTCTCTGGTCTCCACTATCTCTGGTCCCTGGACCCTGTATTCACTATATCTGGTCTCTTGCATTCACTATATCCGGTCTCTCCGGACCCTGCATTCACTATATCCGGTCTCCCCGGACCTTGCATTCACTATATCCGGTCTCCCCGGACCCTGCATTCACTATATCCGGTCTCCCCGGACCCCGCATTCACTGTATCCGCTCCCAGGACCCCGCATTCACTGTATCTGCTCTCCCCGACCCTGCATTCACTATATCTGCTCTCCCCGGACCCCGCATTCACTATATCTGTTCTCCCCGGACCCTGCATTCACTATATCCGCTCTCCCCAAACCCTGCATCACTATATCTGATCCCCCAGACCCTGCATTCACCCGCTGCCCTGCATTCACTATATCCGCTCTGCCTGGACCCTGCATGTCAAACTCAAGGCCCGTGGGTCAAATCTGGCCAAACAGCCCTCGTCATGTGGCCCTTGCACGAGGGGAGGGAGAGACACACACTCTGATGGCCACATGTGATGCAAAGGAGCACTCTGATGGGGAAATATGATGGAAAGAGGCACGTAAGCACATCCCTAAACCCTCCACATAGTGTACCCGATCGTCCTTCGAGGGTAACCATACTGCTGATGCAGTACGCTTTGATCACCCCTGCTGTAAGCATTGTGCTTGCAATCAGCAGAGTGTGGGTACAACACCAAAATCTTGCAGACTCTCTCTATAGTCGTTTGCTCGTACCTGCCATACTGGCAGACAGTTGCTGTAGTCCAGGAAGAATCCACGAACCACGAGAGAGCTAACCAGTGCCCTTTGCAGTTAATTGAGAACTACAAGCCATCTGTCGCGGTGGCAGACGGTACTTGTAGTACATTCATTCACAAATCTCTGAATGAATTACATGGCAGTGTGGGTGGAGCCCTATTGTTTTCAAATTGTGACAGTGGGTGCAGGAAGAGGGTCCCCCTGCTGGCTGCCACCGTGAGGGATCAGTTGGGGGGGCTGGTGCATTATTGTAACATGTTCTACTCTAAATACAGGTGTATAAATTTAACAAAGGTGAACTTATTCTATAGAACAGGGGTCTGCAAACCTTTGAAACAAAGGGTCAGTGTACTGCCCTTTAAATATTAGGGGGGCCAGACTGTGTCCAGAGGAAGCAGAAAATGCCCTGGCATCGGTGGCAGCAAACAATGCCATAGTGGGGGTAAAAAAAAAAAAAATGAAATTATTGGTGTCAGTGAGAGAATTAGTACAACGTATATGATGTCAATGGACACAGTACCCCATTGATGGTGTCAGTGGGAGGAATAGTGCCCTGCCTTTGGTGTCATTGGAAGAAATAGTACCTCATATCAGTGGAAGGAATATGGCTGGATAAAGGCAAGCAAAGGGCCACATCTGGCCCTTGGGCTGCAGTTTGGAGACCCCTGCTACAGAACTTCCAATTTTTTCCTTTGCAAAGTAGATTCACTTTGTTTCAGCCTAGTGTGGTGCAGAACTCCACACAGATATTAAATCCCAATGATTGCACTGATGTATTCACAATAGCCCAATTTAACTTTTGGCTGAAATCAGCGCGATACATTCCAAGGTCAAAAAAACAAAAAAAAAAAAAAAACGTGTGCAAAGTCTCACCACGGACTTTTTTTCCCATCAATAAAACAAGACAGAAAACTCATTCTACACCATTTTACTTGAACCCATCCCTACTGTAATACAGAGGTATCTGCAAACAATGGGTGGGTGTTAAACGAATGTTTCTCTACGATTGCCCAGTGAAGCAACCTCTAACAACTGTCAGGGCAATATAAATAACAATATAAAAAAAATAATATAGATCTATAAAAAAATATGTTTGCAATACAGAAGTTCCTGTCCTATAAATCGAAGTAGTACGGAGAGTCCCGATGACTTTGGGGAGACCGGTTTGAAGAGGAGGAGGATGATGGGGATGAATATGGCTGGGGGGCAGGTAATGCCTCTTGCTCCTGAGAGTAATTAAATGATGGCGTTTGTGACCGAGTGGTGGGGGAAGGTTCATAGGTAGGACACAAGGGTCGAGGAGATGTCCGGGGATGGCGGAGGTTCGTACGGGAGGGCGTGGCTGAGTTTTTATTGTAAGACTGCGCATGCTGGGGAATGTATGTGGAGTTGCTGATTCGCCAGTTTGGAGTTTGTGGTTCTTTTTGTACTGGCTCCATGAACTTTTTCACCACATGCATCAAGCTCAGCTGCATGTCGATCTTTCTGTCCTCTGGAACTTTTTTGACGAACGGTAATAAACTTTTAAGGAAAATCTCATCAGAATCCATTTTCTCCTCAGTTTTTTTCCTAAGCGTGCTCATGACGCTGAGCAGTTGTCTTTCCCACTCGGTTTCATTTTTGTTGGCGGCTTTTTTCTTGTTCTTTTTTGGTGGTGACAGGGGCGAGGCACGCACCAAGGTCTGAGCTGGTGGCAAGTCGGAGTGGCAGCGGTAGTGGCGGCTGGAGAGTGGGGCTGACGGTTACTTGGTCTACATCGATTGGCTGCTGGATGTCGAGTGGATCCTTGGCCACGTTGGGTGCTGCAGGTGTCGCATTAAGGGAGCTAAAACAAAACAAATCAATTTATCAAAATGGGACTTTGGAAGAAAAATCATCTAAAACTCTGCAGGGATCACTCACTCTCTGAGCTTCATGGTGGGTTCCAGGAACAGAAGGCCGTCATAATGGATATACTTTCTCCTCCGATTTGTCGGTATTCCGCTCTTTTCTAGTTTCTTTTGTAACGTTAGCTCCCTCCTGAAGCAATCTTTAAGAGACCTCCATCGAGTCTGAACTTCTTTGGCTACAGGGGGGGAAAAAAATAAATTTTTATAGAAAATTCAAAAGTTATAAAAGCTTCTGTAAAACAAAAAAAAAAGGTGCCAAAGTAAGCCTGAGCATTGCAAAGCAACAGGTCCACTTAAATGCCTAGGCCCTGGAATTGAAGGTTCGGCTCTAACCACTTCCTGTCCGCCCGCAATGTACTGAAGACGGGTGGTAGCTGCAGGCAAAGCGACGTACGTCACTTTGATCTTCCGGGTTTAGAGCGCGCATGCGTGTGCCCCCCCCGCTGTCATTTGTTGTAGGAGGTGTATGTAGGAGGTGTATGTCAGCAGGTCTCGGCCAGTGATTTTGGCCGGGACTCTGCTGATCTCCTACAGCGAATGGAGCTGCGCCTGTGTTTGGTTTGTAAATACAGGCACAGGATCTAGCTGGTTCTTCTCTCCCTGGAACCATTTTGTTCCAGAGAGAGAAAAAGGACATCACACATGAGTAAAAGTAGCACATTTGCACCCACACACATTAGATAGAGACATTTTAACCTCTTGATTGCCACATTTAACCCTTTGATTGCCCGGCCACTCTGCCAGTGCCATTAGTACAGTGTCAGTGTACAGTATTTTCACTGCTCACTGTATTAGTGCCACTAGAGACGTCAGAGTCAGTTAGCGTCCCTCCCAGCTAGCGTCAGATTGTCCGCACACTTTCAAACTCACGCTATAGTTCGCTGATCACCGTCATTACTAGTATAGTGTTTGAATATATTGATCACGAACAAAAACTATACCAGTGCCCCCTTAGTATAGTGTCCCCAAAAACGCAGTGTTATCAGGATCATTTCTGTTCGCTGCCAGCACTAGCGTTTAGCCCCAATGCTCCCCCTCCCACCCCTAACAAGAAGTGCAGTGTCAGTATAATTTCTGATCACTGTCACCTGTAATACATTGCACACAGAACCGCAGTGTTCGCAGAATCAGGCCCGATTTTTGTTAGCACTTGCCAGTAAATTTTGTAGCGGTTCAAGCAGTCCATGACAGCCAGGTGCTCTTTTTCCCGTGAGTCGCACTAGGTACCTGTAAATTTAGAGTCCAAAATGTCCAACCAAAGGTACACTACTGAAGAGGCCTGCAAGATTCTGAGCATGCCCGGTGAGAGAAGGGGAAGACTCCCTGACACAGCCTCAGAATACGAACCTGTAGACAGCAGCGGCACCCTGACAGATAGCTCATATGATGGAGAAGAGGTCCCTGTTAAGAACAGGCGTACCCGACCCCATGAAGCTGAAGTGCTAGGATCGCATGACTTGTCTCATGCAGCAGAGTGCCAGTACTAGTGCCGCGCTACCTTTTGGTTTACTGGTGAGCACCAGCGGCCTACTATATCCTGTTTTTTTTTTTTTATACCAGCACTGCAGTATCACTTGGTGACGTGGAGAGTCCCATAAGTGCAGTAAAAGCTGGTGCAGTGGTGAGCACAAGTAGTGTCCCGCAACTACCAAGAATTCACACACAGGTAGGTAGGGCCCCTAGTGTCCTTCTGGATGCGCTTGCAAATCCTGATTGGCAGCCCACAGATTCTGCAGCACCCATACTTCCCCCATTCACTGCCCAACCCAAAATTCAGGTGGAAACAGCAAATTTAACTCCCCTTGATTTTATGGAGCTGTTTTTCACAGATTTGTAGAATTTGATTGTGGGCCAAAGCACTTTATATGCTGAACAATATATCGCCGCAAACCTAAATTCAAACCTTGCCAGACCATTCGCATGGAAACCCATTATGGTTTCTGAATTTAAAACTTTTTTGGGCCTAACCCTCAACATGGGAATTACAAAAAAGAATGAGTCGCGGTTGTATTGGTCCACAGACCCGATTCATCATATGCCCGTGAGACGATAATGCGCTTCATGCATTTCAGTGATAACACACTCTGCCATCCTCAGGGTGACCTTGAACATGACAGGCTCTACAAAATTCGGCCCCTCATAAACCACCACACAGAGAAATTTGCAGATATGTATACGCCCCAGCAAAACATCTGCGTGGATGAGTCCTTCATTCACTTTACTGGCCGCCTTGCATTCTAACAGTACATCCCCAGCAAGCATGCCAGATATGGAGTCAAATTGTATAAGCTCTGTGAGAGGGCCACAGGCTATACGTACACATTTTTGGTTTATGAGGGAAGAGACAGTGAAGTAGAGCTCCCCGACTGCCCAGACAACATGGGGAGCAGTGGCAAGATAGTTTGGGACTTGGTGTCGTCTTTGTTCTATAAGGGGTGCCACTTACAGTATACGTGGACAATCTCTATACAATAGTGCCACTATTTAGAAATTTGTACAATCTTAGAATTGGTTCATGTGCCGCCGTGTGACCTAACCGCCAGGGCTTCCCCCAACGGCTTGAAAAATACAAGAGAAAGCCTGCTTAAGGAATGATGAATTCCTCGCAGTGAAGTGGAAGGACAAATGGGATGTTTTCGTCCCGTCTTCCATTAACACAGACGCAACAGTCCAAATTAACATGGGATCTGGCGTAGTTGAGAAACCCCTCACGACTATAACCTTAACATGGGAGCGGTGGACTTCAATGACCAAATGATGAATCCGTACCTAGTTTCCCGAAAAGCTCGACACTGGTACAAATAGGTGTCTATTTATTTCAATTTGCTATATACAGTTAGGTCCATATATATTTGGACACAGGCACAATTTTAGTTTATTAAGGTATTTACCAAAACATATTCAAGCTATAGTTATATAATGAATATGGGCTGAAAGTGCACACTGTCAGGTTTAATTTGAGGGTATGTACATCCAAATTGGAGGAAGGGTTTAGGAATTGCAGCTCTTAAGAACAGCCACCCCTTTTTCAAGGGACCAAAAGCGGTTTCATGGCCAGGTGTGGGCTACTCCATTATTTCTTCATCAATTATACAAATGAAAGGTCTGGAGTTGATTCTAAGTGTGGTATTTGCATTTGGAATCTATTGCTGTGAACCTACATCATGAGTTCAAAGGAGCTGTCCATGCAAGTGAAACAGGCCATTGAAAGGCTTCAAAACCATGAAACAAATCCATCAGAGCGATAGCAGCAACATTAGTAGTGGCCAAATCAACAGTTTAGTTCATTCTGAGGAAAGAAGAATGCACTGGTGAGCTCAGCAACATAAAAAGGCCTGGATGTCCATGGAAGACAACAGTGGCGGACGATCGCAGGAACCTCTCTATGGTAAAGAAAAACCCATTCACAACATCCAAACAAGTGAAGGACACTCTCCAGGAGGTGGGCGTATCAAAGTCTACAATCAAGAGAAGACGTCACGAGCGCAAATGGTTCACCACAAGGTACAAACCATTCATAAGCCTGAAAAATAGAAAAGCCAGATTAGACTATCCAAAAAAAAAAATCTAAAAAAGCCGGACCAGTTCTGGAAAAACATTCTTTGAATGGATGAAACTAAGATTAATCTGTACCAGAATGACGGGAAGAAAAAAGTGTGGAGAAGACTTGGAACAGCTCATGATCCAAAGCAAACAACGTAATCTGTAAAACATGGTGGAGGCAGTGTGATGGTATGGGCATGCATGGCTTCCAGTGGCCCTGGGTCATTGGTGTTTATTGATGATGTGACAGAAGACAGAAGCAGCCGGATAAATTCTGCAGTGTTTACAGATATACTGTCAGCTCAGATTCAGCCAAATGCAGCAAAGGTGATTGGACGGGGCTTCACAGTACAGATGGAAAATGATCCAAAACACACTGCAAAATCAACCCAGGAGCTTTTGAAGAAAAAGAAGTGGAATATTCTGCAATGGCCGAGTCAGTCACCTGATCTCAACCCAGTTGAGCATGCATTTCACTTGCTGAAGGCAAAACTAAAGGCAGGAAGACCCGCAAACAAAGAACAACTGAAGACAGATGCAGTTAAAGCCTGGCAAAGCATCAGAAAGGAGGAAACCCAATCTTTGGTAATATCCATGGGTTCCAGACTTCAGGCAGTCATTGTCAGTAAAGGATTCTCAATAAAATGTTACAAATGAACATTTAATTTATGATTATATTTATTTGCCCAACTACATTTGAGCCCCTGAAAATGGAGGGACTGTGTATAAAAATGTTTGCAGTTACTAAAATTTATACTTGATATTTATGTTCAACCCCTTGAATTAAAGCTGAAAATCTAGACTTCAAATTCATTTGGATTGTTTTTCGCTTGAAATTTACTCTGGTGGCATAAAGAGCCCGAAATATGAAAATTGTGCCTGTGTCTAAATATATATTGACCTAACTGTAAGTAGTGAATAAGACCATTACAATAACTGTCCATTGATTGCATAACAACACCAAATTTTAATTTTTATTTAACTTTTTTTGGGCACTTCTAGTGTGGTTGTGCGAACTTCCCCATGTTCCTCTGGACCACCTGGTAGGTGGATGGGGCTGTATTGCAGGTATGTGATGTATCCTCCATAATAGATATTCCTGTCCTGTAAACCGGGGTTCATTAGTTGTTTAATTCCACTCTGCATGACCTGGGAGGGAGCATGAAAAAACTGAAATTAGGTCACCAGTGATGTGGTTTAGCCCAGCTGACAAGAGAAGCTGGGAAGATCATGCCCCACATTGACCTGACACGACTTACTTGCACGTATGTGAACTGTGGTGTCAACATTGCAGAGGCTCAATGATCCCACAGATCGCTCTCAGTGAGGAAAAGGAAGTCCAATTGTTAGAATCACATTATTTCATTACATTTTTCTTTTAGAGAAATTAACCACTTCAAGACTCGGCCTATTTTTTAACCTTTTCACTGTTCACTTTGAACTCTCCAAATATGATTGATATTAAAGCAGAGGCCCTAGAAAAAAATTTAAAAAATCGCAAAACCCACCATTTTTAATGTCACACGGTATTTGCGCAGCTGTTTTTCACAAAGATTTTTGGGGAAAAAATACACTTTAATTAATTTAGTTCCACAAAAATTCAATATAATGCCTAAATGGTTTGGTAAAATATAAAAGATGATGTTATACCGAGTAAATAGATACCAAACATGTTATGCTTTAAAACTGCATACAACCATGCAACGGCAAACAACTACTTCTATTCTATCCTCCATAGACAACTCTTTAAAGCCTTTACAAATTACCAATTTAGATTTACACAGGAGTTCTAGTGCTAAAATTACTGCTCTCGCTCAAGACATTCGCAGTGATACCTCACGTGTGGTGTGATCACCATTTACATACCAATGTGTGTGAGCACGGGGGGTTGAGGGCGCTTTACATTTTTAAAAAATGTAATTTATTTTTATTTACATTATCCCTTTTTTTTAAAATTATTTTTGTTATCACAAAAGATATTTACATTCTTTTGGGATAATAGGCAGTGACAGGTCCCCTTTAGTCCCCAGTCACACTGGATACAAATTGGCACGCGATTTGCATGCCATGCGACTTGCAAATCGTATGCCACGTCGCACCCTATTATTCGCAATTACAGCGGTCATATCGGTGCGGTTCTGACTTTGTCGGAGCCACAGTGATTTCTAAACTAGTACATGCACTACTTTTGGTGCGATTTGCATAGACATCTGTGTCAGATGTCTTGCAAATCGCACCTTAAAATCGACATGCATGTCATCCGACTTTGAAATTGTGCGACTTCACTGCAAGTCGCACGATTTCAAAGTCGGGTTTGGTGTGGCCGGGGTGTTACTGGGAGATTTGGGGAAAGTCTCCTCCTGCCAATTGTAAAAGTAATCCAGCAGCTAATTAGTCGCTAGGATTGCTTTTACAAGAAATCTGACAGCTAGTTGGAAAAAAAAAAAAAACAATACTGGGATGAGCCATCATCCTTGCCTGGTGGGAAGTGGTTAAGACCCCGTTCACACTTGAGCGTTTTTCAGCTCGAAGCTTAGAAACACTCAACAAGTAAAATCCTATTATTTCCAAAGGCCTCTGTTCACACATGAGCTTTCTATCACCTGCAGCAAAACACCTGTGGCTCAAAAAAGTACTTGCGCTACTTTTCAGGCAGATCTGAGTGTTTTGTCCCTATAGACTTGAATGGAAAATGCCTGAACAGCAGGAATGAGTTTTTTTCAGGCAGTTTCAGCTCAAACAGCAGCTATTTCTATTGTCCGCAGCAAACGCCTGAAAAATATTTGCAAGTCTGCTAAAAACAAAACGCTCACAAATGCCTGAAAAAAATACTTGAAAAAAAAACACCTGAAAAACGCTCAGCTCAGTGTGAATGTAGTGTAGCCTCCCAGCGGTCTGATTAGGTCAATATTTCTGTGCTCAAACGGTACATTTTTTTTTTTGCATAGAAATATGTTCTTTTATTGTAGGCCTGTAATTTTTAGGAATAACTCACTGAAATCTGTACGAACAAGAGTCTAATAAACATCCCGGGTATGATAAAATTTGAAACACGAAATCATAAATTATAATTTAATAAATAATCATAAAAAATAAGAATATAATAATAATACATTTAATTCAATAATATAATCAAACCAAAAACACTGAAATTTGAAATAGAGCGCCAAGTTCGCACATCACTGAGCAAAGTCGCAAAATCGTTTTCAGTGTCTGATGACGAATTTCCCCCACTAATCATTATCACTCAATTCTGCAAGTGGTTCTGATTTACTATCGCTGTTCTCTAGCCGGTCTAAAACCACTTTTGACCTAAAGGGACGCTTTTTGGACGCCATGGACGTTTCTCAGTTTCCAGGCAGAAAGAACAGTAAAAATGCAGGCAGGGCGCCGGACAAAGCACTCGGGACAAAATGTATGTGAAATGGTTTGATACAGGAATGTTTTACTATGTGATTTTAGTGTATTTAGTCATTTTTTTACATTTTTAAATTTCCCGCCGTTCTGTCCCCCGTACGTCCTGACGTCGCAGGGAATGGAACCCGGAAGACGGATGCTGGCATCAGCCGGAAGAGATGGCCGGGGATGCTGCAAGGGGGACATCGCGGAGCGCAGGACAAGGTAAGTGCAGAAGGTATCCCGGAGCAACGCTGCAGTGTATTCCCGAGTGTAGCTTGGCGTTACCGCTTGTGGTGCTGAAACTTTACCCCGAGCTACACTCGGGAATACCGCCAGGGGGGTTAAGGGCAAGGTGAGATTTTAAAATGTGTTAGGAAAGGATCTTCTGTGTTTTTTTGGAATTTACAATTGATATGCTCAGTTAATCTACGGGGTGTGTAAAAGATAAGAAATAGAGCAAGTATTTGTCTGACAGTCGGCACATTCCCCTCTTTGTGGAATGTGGATGGACCCTCTATGTCTTCATGTACAATATGGGATGGCTGCCTCACGTACTTGATATGGGCAAATGGGTGGCCCTATAACTGGTGAGCAGGAGTGGCTTCATTGGCCATCCAGCAGCAGGGAGCAGCGAGGAATAGTAGAACTGGCAAATCACAACAAGCACACGTCCACATAACATGATGGATAGAAAACTGGGTTAATGTATTTTAATTTCTTGGAAACGAAATGACCTTTTCTTATGTTTTTCACCTTTGATATTTTTCTCCTTTTCACTACACAGCTCCCAGTCTGGAACCACAATGGCGCAGATTTCATCCCACGCTTTCTTCTTCTTGTACCGATCGGCATAGGAAGGCGTTTTGGGGTTGTACAGCTCAGGACGTTCCTGCACCAACTGAATCAACTGGGCAATGTCGATGAACATTTTGGAAGACATTCTGTGGATTCTGCCATCTTTTTCTCTTATTGCTTCACCATAAAACAGAAATACAAAAAAGCATTAAAAAAAAAAATCAATATTTAATTGCATTTACAAAACAGCTCACGGCTAATATTAAAGTAATTCTAAATGTCATTGTTTTTCCTTGAAATAACAAATATGCTATACTTACCCGCTCTATGTAATGATTTTGCACAGAGCAGGCCCAATCCTCCTCTTCTCAGGTCCCCCAGTAGGCTCCTTCCCCTCAGAGTGCTCCCACAGCAAACCGCTGGCTATGGGGAAACTTGTGTGGGCTCTGTTCCAGTCAGTTTAAATAGACACAGACAGCAGGACCCGCCTCCCCGCCGCTGGCTGTGACTGACAGCAGCAGAAGCCAATGGCTCCTGCTGCTGTCTCTGACTCAATGGGGAGTGGTAGAGCAGAGAGGACTTCTGCTCTCATGCACAGCACTGGACTGAGTTCAGGCTCAGATAAGTGTAAGGGGGTACTGGGGCAGGGGGGGAGCTGCATGCAGAAGGCTTTGTACCTTAACCCCTTGACACCGACCATACGCAAATATGCGGCCTCTCAGCAGCTGGGCCTTCACAACGAGCGGCTGCATATTTGCGTACCATTTGAAAACACATATGTGCTGAGAGAGCGCTCCCAGCACATATGTCGGTGTCTCATGGAAAGGTCCCGATCTCCCCTTGTGATCAGGACCTTTTCCGAGCATGTGACCGCCGTGAGAGCGAATCACGGCGGTCACATGACCCTAGAACCCCGCCCCCGGCATCTGAAACCCTTTAAAGGGCCAGGAGGAAGCAGTTAATGCATAGAATGCACAAAAGGTAAAAAAAACTCTTCTGCCTGTAGAACCACTTTAACCCTTTCATTGCCAGAGCCATTTTTGAACACGGGTAAAAAAATTAGTTTAGGCCTGAAGATTACACAAAGCCCCCAAACATTATATATTTTCCGAAAGCAGACATTTTAGAGAATAAAATAACGGTAGTTCCAATGCTTTTTTTTGTCACACCATATTACCGCAAATCTGGCCGCATATCAGTGCAGTCTCATCAGTACCCATCAGTGCAGCCTATCAATGCCCATCAGTGCAGCCTATCAGTGCCCACCAGTGCAGCCTATCAGTGCCCATCAGTGCTGTATATCAGTGCCGCTTATATCAGTGCCCATCAGTGCCGCTTATACCAGTGCCCATCAGTGCTGCTTATACCAGTGCCTATCAGTGCTGCTTATACAGTGCCCATCAGTGCTGCCTATACCACCCATCAGTGCTGCCTATACCAGTGCCCATCAGTGCTGCTTACCAGTGCCCATCAGTGCTGCCTATACCAGTGCCCATCAGTGCTGCTTATACCAGTGCCCATCAGTGCTGCTTATACCAGTGCCCATCAGTGCTGCTTATACCAGTGCCCATCAGTGCTGCTTATACCAGTGCCATCAGTGCTGCTTCTACCAGTGCCTATCAGTGCTGCTTATACCAGTGCTTATCAGTGCTGCTTATACCAGTGCCTATCAGTGCTGCTTATACCAGTGCTTATCAGTGCTGCTTATACCAGTGCCCATCAGTGCTGCTTATACCAGTGCCCATCAGTGCTGCTTCTACCAGTGCCTATCAGTGCTGCTTATACCAGTGCTTATCAGTGCTGCTTATACCAGTGCCTATCAGTGCTGCTTATACCAGTGCTTATCAGTGCTGCTTATACCAGTGCCTATCAGTGCTGCTTATACCAGTGCCTATCAGTGCTGCTTATACCAGTGCTTATCAGTGCTGCTTATACCAGTGCCTATCAGTGCTGCTTATACCAGTGCCTATCAGTGCTGCTTATACCAGTGCTTATCAGTGCAGTCTCATCAGCGCACATCAGTGAAGGAAAAAAAATTATCTGTTAGCAAAGTTTTATAACAGAAACTAAGGAAAATTTTTATTTCAAAGTTGTTAGTCTTTTTTTGCTTGGCAAAAAATAAAAACCTCAGTGGTGATTAAATACCACCAAAAGAAAGCTCTATATGTTTAAAAAAAAATGATAAAAATTTCATTTGGGTCATTTCATGACTGCGCAATTGTCATTCAAAGTGCAACAGCGCTGACAGCTGAAAATTGGCCTGGGTAGGAAGGGGGTGAAAGTGCCGGGTAGGCAAGTGGTTAATTGAGCAAGTTGAAGTTAGAAGCTGATTGGCTCCCATGCACAGCTGCACCAGATTCTGAGTGCTCCAGTTTTAGTAAATCTCCCTCCAAAGCCAGTCATAAAAAAGCCTGTCAGCACTTTTTGCAAAAACATATTAACTTCCACATTTAGTCATACTGGGCCTCACTCGTTATCAATCGACTGCTGTCAAGAGCGACCAGACACATTTAACATTTTTTTTCCCTAGTCTATAATAAAACGAACATTCTGATCACCAAAATAACAGACACAGCAGCCTACCTGAGCTGGGCTGAGGATGATCAACCTTCTCCCCGTGTTGCTGATAATCCATTCCGAACGACAGGTCCTCCTCTTCCTCTTTTATCTGTACAAGAAAATAATCTATAAAAACAGAAGAGAAATGTCATTAGTGTCCACATTTTTTGGGGGGTGAAGAAATTAAATGTATTCCTTTAACCGCCTCCCACCCACCATACAGTAATGACGGGCGCAAGGCGGTTCTCTCGTTCTGGGAGGACATCATATGACGTCCTCCCATTCTAACCGCGCATGCTCAGCTCCCGGAGCGTGCAGCGCAGCGCAGCGATCGGCGGTGCACTGTGTCCCTCGAACACAGCGAATCGCCGATCCATGGAAAGAGATGAAGATGTCGGCTCTATGATGTGATCAGCTCTGTCCAATCACAGCTGATCACATGTAAACAGGGAAATGCCGGTTATCCGCATTTCTCTCCCCACGAGCAGTCACGCTGACAGAGGAGAAGAGAGCCGGTAATCAGCATTCCTTGGAGGGGACATCTACACTGATCATCAGGGCACTTATGATCAGTGTGCCCTGATGATCTGTGTAGCCCCAGCAGTGCCACCTGTCAGTGTCCATCAGTGCCAGCTCTTAGTGCTCATCCATGCCACCTGCCAGTGCCCATCAGTGCCACATTTCATTGCCCATCAGTGCCACATCAATGCCACATATCAGTGCCCGTCTGAGCTGCCTTTGTGTCAACCATCAGTGCCACCTATCAGTGCTGCCAATCAGTGCCAGTCCGCGCCGCCTATCAGTGTGCATCAGTGCTGCCTAACAGTGCCAGTCAGCGCCACCTAACAGTGCTAGTCAGTGCCGCCTATTAGTGCCATATATGAGTGCTGCCTTTCAGTGCCCATCAGTGATGCCTGTCAATGCCCATCAGTGCCACATATCAGTGTCCATCAGTGCAGCCTATCATTGCAGCCTCATTAGCGCACATCAGTGAAGGAGAAAAAAAAATCACTTATTTACAAAATTTTATAACAAAAACTAAGAAAAAACTTTTTTTTTTTTTCAAAAATTTTCAGTGGTTTTTGGTATAAGAAAAAATAAAAAAAAACCCAGAGCTGATTAAATATCACCAAAATAAAGCTCTATCTGTCACAAAAAAATGATATAAATTTCATATGGGTACAGTGCTGCATTACCGCGCAATTGTCATTAAAAGTGCAACAGCGCTGAAAGCTGGAAATTGGCCTGGGCAGGAAGGGGGTATAAGTGCCCGGTAGGCTAGTGGTTAAAGTGGTTCCAAAGGCAACAGGTTTTTTTTCGCACCGTAATGCATTCTCTGCATGTGTATCAATGGACAGAGCTGGCTCAGTAGTGAGCATGCACGACTGCGCCCATAGCGAGCAGGAGGAGGAGTCAGGAACGCCAGTGGGGGATCCGAGAAAAGGAGCATCGGGGTTGCTGCGTGTAAAACCATTGCACAGAGCAGGAAGTATAACATGTTTATTATTTTACTACTTCAATACCGGCCACTTTCACCCCCCTTCCTGCCAGGCCAATTTTCAGCGCTGTTTGCACTTTGAATGACAATTGCACGGTCATGCAACACTGTACCCATATGACATTTTCACACAAATAACGCTTTTTTGGTGGTATTTAATCACCACTGAATTTTTTTTTTTTTTTGCTAAATAAATGAAAAAAATGCCAAAAGGTTTTAAAAAAAATGTGTTTTTCTTGGTTTCTGTTATAAAAGTTTGCAAATAAATATTATTTCTTTGTGAATTTAGGCCAAAATGTATTCTGCTACATTTCTTTGATGAAAGTAACCCAAATCAGTATTATTATTTAGTCTGTGTGAAAATTATAGAGTCTACAAACTATGGTGTATATATATAATAATTGATTAATCCTGATGTACTGATTTCTTGAGGCCTGAAAATGCCAGCACAGTACACATACTCCCCAAATTACCCCTTTTTGGAAAGTAGACAGTCTGATGCATTTAGTAAGAGGCATGGTTGAGTTTTTTGAAGTTTTAATTTTTTGTCATAATTTGATCAGGGATACTAACTGAGACAGTATGTTAAAAAAAAATTTGAATTTTTCTTTTTTTTTTTTCGTTTCACATACTGTGACCACAGCAATACAGGGTTAACAGTAACATTGCATTTCTCTGGGAAGATGATCAGGATTTTTTTTTTTTATACACACTTTGCACTCTTCAGCTTTAGTAAATCAACCACAATCTCTGGTGCCACTCTGCACAGAAACCAATCAGCTTCCAGTTTGTTTGTTTTTATCAACGCTTATTTGAACAAGCTGAATCTGATTGGCTACTATACCCAGCTGCACCAAATTTCGCACTCTCCAGTTTCAGTAAATTAACCCCTATGATTGCTTATAGCAGCGAGCTGGTACACTGATCAGCCATCTGCTGTAAACACAAATGCTCCTGCGCTTGGGGATGGACTCGATGCAGGCTACAACCACATTAAGAATGTCCTGGAACATGCACACCTTGCTGCCCTCAATAGACCGGAGAAATCCAAATATACTGAATGAGGAAAGAACAAACAGAGGGCGCACAGGTCTAGTGCATTACCATAAAAAATGTTTAATAAAAAATAAAGTATGTGTTGTACTCACAAATGACAATATAGTCAAGGCACATCATAAAGAACAGCTGGGTCAACACCGCGCTGAGTAACAGTCCTCAACAGGGAGTGTAGACATCCAATAGGCTGATGCGTTTAGAGGACTTGCCTCTTCCTCAGAGCCCCACCCAACGGGTGACAGATTGCGCCAGAGTGCAGAGTCCGGCCCAAAGGGTTAGCGCCAGAGTGCGGCCCGAGGGGCTCGCGCCAGAGTGCGGCCCGAGGGGCTCGCGCCAGAGTGCGGCCCGAGGGGCTCGCGAGGGCCCGAGGGGCTCGCGCAAGGTGCATTCTGGGAAGGACTTCATAGGACGTCCACCCAGAATAGGACTCCTGCTCAGGCATCATTTTGCAATGCAATAGGAAGAAGGGTCAGCCGAACACCAGAGGATAGATGAATATAGTGTGTATTTATTGATCCATAGGACACACAAAACACCAGGACATGAATACAGGACCTGTTAATGCGTTTCACACGATCTCGCGCTTAATCATGATCGATATTAATAAATACACACTATATTCATCTATCCTCTGGTGTGCGGCTGACCCTTCTTCCTATTGCATCATGTGTGGTGGCAAGCCAGAGCCTGCACCTGTTGTGAATTGATCTGGATTGTTTGCCTGAGCGGTATACCTTTGTTCTTTGGGATTGTTTTACAATGGCCCGGGCGGGAAGCAGTTAAAGGGGGGGAAAAAAAAAAAAAAAAAAAAAAAGTTTAGAATCACTTTAACCACTGCAGCTCCAGGCCATTTCTGGCACTTTATAAAATCAGTATTTGTAAGTTTTTTTTTTTTACACTGTCACTTTAAATTTTTCCTCCCACTGCTTGTACAAGCAAATGAGCGGCTAGTAGCCGTTCCGACTGCTTGTACAAGAGAGCTGTACCGGGGGTTTTGCCTGAAGCTGCATGCATCACTCCGGTGCAACCACCATAAATGCAGTGAAGTATGGGTACGTCGCTGGTCCGAAAGTGGTTAAAAAAGCTTTTCCAGACAAACCTTATTCTAGGCCTTATATTCTCCAGCTGCAATATGCTGCAGTATGGCTATGTACCAAGCGTAAGTACTATTCGTTCATGTTGAGAACAAAGTAAAAAGTAGCAGCACAGTGGTGCAAACCTCTGAGAAGCAAGGGCGCACAATTACCTCTGGAGGAAGAGAGATTTAACCTCAACATATGGAAAGGCTTCCTGACTGTAAGAGCTGTGAATTTGTGGAATACATTTCCCTCAAGAACTAATTTGGGCCAGCTCAGTAAAAAAAAAAAAAAATAGCTGGATGCGTTCCTAAATGCACTGGATACTAACATTTATAGGTAATAACCTGTAATTTCTAGATGGTAAGCTCCCAGGATCAGGGCTCTGCTATCCCTCTTGTATTGAACTGTATTGTTGCTGTATTGTCTCCCGTTATATTGTACAGTGCTGAGCAAACTGTTGGCGCCATATAAATCCTGTATAATAATAATAGCACCAGAGATCATTGATCCAGGGAATATCCTACTGTCTCCCATGGGTTCAGGAAGGAAAGTTTTCCCCTGACTGGAGCAAACTGATTTTGCTGAAACTTTTTTTTTTTTTTTTTTATCTTTTAATAGGTCATCCATTTTATGGTTTATATTTTTGACTGGAGTTGCTTTAAAAGGTGTATAGCCAATTTTTTTGGCCCTTACTTATTTTTGCACTCCTGTGACCCAATTCAACCAACAGCAGGCTAAAGCCTGCTCTCAGCTGATGTCAAAGAGCCGGTCCAGACTCTGGAAGGATCCCAACTTTGAAAAAGAAGAAAATTTTTGGAAGAAGAAGAAGGAGGAGGATGAAGAAGGAGGAGGGGAGGAGGATGAAGAAGAAGAGGATGATGAAGAAGAAGAGGATGAAGAAGAAGAGGATGATGAAGAAGAGGAGGATGATGAAGAAGAAGAAGAGGATGAAGAAGAAGAGGATGATGAAGAAGAAGAGGAGGATGATGAAGAAGAAGAAGAGGATGATGAAGAAGATGAAGAAGAGGATGAAAATGAAGAAGAAGAGGAAGAAGAAGAGGATGAAGAGGAAGAATTCCAGTCTGGCAAAAAGTGTCCCTGCAGAGAGCTCTGCTATTTCTTTGACAGTGCTTTGACATTTATAGCAGGTGCAACAATGTATCTATTTGTTTCCAAATAAAAACATCTGTATCCGAAATGGATACAAATAGATACATTGTTGCAGCCGCTATAAATGTCAAAGCACTGTCAAAGAAATAGCGGAGCTCTCTGCAGGGACACTTTTTGCCGACTGTAGACGGGATGAAAATTGGCCGATTTTCTTTACCATTCCTGGTAACGTCGGCCGCTTGAACGACCGATTTTTTTATATTTTTTTTTTAAAAATCGGATGGTTTTCTCCCCATCTATGGCCTGCATTAGAGGCGGTGGGGGGGACAAATGGGTCTTTTGTCCAACATTACCTGACCTCACAGATGCTCTTTTAGCTGAATGGATACAAATTCCCACAGATGCACTCCAAAATCTTATGGAAAGCCTTCCCAGAAGATTGGAGGCTGTTACAGCTGTCAAGTGTGGTCCCAATCCATATTAATATCCATGGATTTAGAGTGGGATATCCAAGAGTTCTTAGAGGTGTGATGGTTAGGTGGCTACACAGTGTATGTAGGTACCTGGACTCGCGGCAGGTGAACTGTCTCTCTCCTCAAAATGTTGATCGCTCATTACATGATGCTGGTCACCTTCTTCAAGCTTCACCTCAACTTCAGGCTTCATGTTGTGTCCTGCAAAGAGTAGAAAGGACAGCTGCAAATTTAGTTTCCTGACTGCAAATTTAGCTACTTAATGCCTAACTCCAGGTTTGATTTAAAGCGGAGTTCCACTCACCCTGTCAAAAAATAAAAGTCAGCAGCTACAAAAACTGTAGCTGCTTATAGAAAACAGCCACTTACCTGTCCCTCGGTCCCGCGGTGTGTCCCCCGCAGCCCGTTTCACCGGCTGTCCAGTATTCCAGGAGGTCGGCATCTTCAGTGTGGGCACCCAGCTGTGACAGCTTGCGGCTTTCACAGCCAGGTACCCACTGTGCATGCGCGAGTAGTGCTGCACTTCATGAATGGTCCTGTAGTCTTCTGGGACCTGTCACGTGTCCCAAAAAGACTACAGGGAGGGAGGACACCTTCTGCTTCCAATCGCCTAGGCCAGTGGTCGGCAAGCCGCGGCTCGCGAGTCACATGCGGCTCTTTACACACTTTAATGCGGCTCTTCTGTGTGCCGGGCGCCCTGCTCCCCTCCCTCCCTCCTCTCGGGCGGCCGCCCCAAAAGTCAGGACTCTGCAGCTAGCCCAGCAATGGGCAAACTACTTCCCGGCGGACCTTTTAATCCGGCCCGCGGAGCGTGGCAAATATTGGCTGTCAGGATGTAGGCGGGGCAGCGTGACGAACTCCTCTCCTCTCACAGTCCGCCCTGAAGACCGGAACGGCGCGGGAACACGGCGAGAGGAACGCGCGGAGCAAAGGTAAGTGAATTGACACAATATGGGGAATGAATACTATATGGGGGATGAATTACTATATGGGGGATGAATTACTATATGAGGGATGAATTAATACGGGGGATGAATTACTATATGGGGGATGAATTACTATGGGGGATGAATTACTATATGGGGGATGAATTACTATATGGGGGATGAATTACTATGGGGGATGAATTACTATAGGGGGGATGAATTACTATATGGGGGATGAATTACTATATGGGGGATGAATTACTATATGGGGGATGAATTACTATATGGGGGATGAATTACTATATGGGGGATGAATTACTATATGGGGGATGTATTTTCAGTTTTAAAAATGTGGCTCTCAAAATAAATTTCAATCGTGGTTTTGGCGAGATTTGGCTCAGTTGAAAAAAAAAGGTTGCCCACCACTGGCCTAGGCGATCGGACCAGAAGAGGGAGCGGGTACCTGTCAAATTTGGGTACCCGCTCCCCCCCCGCCCCCCAAAGGTGCCAATCCTTAATGGGGAGCGGGGAAGCATTCCTTAAAGCAGAACTTCTCCTTTTGGGTGGAGCTCCACTTTAACTTTAGTAGTTCGTTTGGTCCAAGCTGGACAGATGCACTTGCTGGGAGCACTAAACGGTATGTAGCATCAGATTCAAACTGTATTCAACGTCCCATTCCCAGAAAAAAAAACAAAATCGAGTCAGGCTGGATGCTGCTCAGCCATTCAGAGGAAGTTTTGTATTTTATGAATGAATATAAGGCTCTCTCCGATTGGTTGAGATGGGGAGCATCCACCCGCCTCTCCACCTCAATCAAAGGAAGCCTTGTATTTCCCGATAAAAATTAAACTTCGAATAATAGGAAAGAAGAAGCGCCTGATGTCCAAAAGAATGCACTGGATGGTAGATTAAGAGGCATTTATTGAGAATAAAGACAAGTACATCAAACCAATGCGTTTCGGGAGAAAAGACTCTTCTTCAGGGCTATTGAACAAGTATGAAAATTTTGTAAAAATACGTAAGCGCCTTAGTTTGATATACTTTTTGTTAGTCTCAATAAATGCCTCTTAATCTACCATCAAAAGTGCATTCTTTTAGAAATAGGGAATAATTTCTTTCCTATTATATCAAGTCTACGTGTGAAAACGGCCTTAGGACTGTACAAGAAGGGCCGCAGCCCAAACCCTAGGAGGGTTTACCACCAATAGGGATGAACCGAAATTTCGGTGGCCGAAACGTTTTGTCGGTTATGAAAAAAAGCACAAATGCCGAAAAAACCCCGCCCCTCACCGCCGCTCAATAGTTCTCAGCCTTACCTGAGAAACCATCGAAGGATCCCGGCGCTGGGGATAGAGATCAGTGAAGGAAAGATGGCCTCCACTCATCTCTATGCCCTTGGAGGACCGGAGCAATGTCGCTTCTGGTTCTGACCATTTTTTTTTTTAAAGCACTAGATGAATGCTTTTATTGATCTAATGCGTTACATTGCAGAGGAGAGATGTGGGGTCTTATTGACCCCATATCTCTCCATAAAGAGGACCTGTCATTAATTATTTCTATCAAAAGGATGCATGCATTCCTTGTGATAAGAATAAAAGTGATTAAAACATTTTTTTAAAGTGACATTGCAAAAAAAAAAAAAAAAAAAAAAAAGTTTAACGTGCCCCCTTCCCCCCATGCTCGCACGTAGTGGTGAACACATATGTAGGCCATGCCCACATATGTAAACGGTGTTCAAACCACACACGTGAGGTATCGACCAGGAACGTCAGAGCAAGAGCAATAATTCTCGCACTAGACCTCCTCTGTAACTTTACACTACTAACCTGTAGAAATTTTTAAAGCATCACCCATGGAGATTTTTTAAGTATCGCAGTTTCACGCCATTCCACGAGCGTGCACAATTTTAAAGTGTGACATGTTGGGTATCTATTTACTCGCCGTAACATTCTCTTTCATATTTTACCAAAAAAATTTGGGGTATATATTGTGGGTTTTTTTAATCAGTGTATTTTTTTCCAAAAAATATATATTAATTTTTAAAAACTGCGCATTTCAATTTTGGTTTCCAGTCAAGTGCATTTTGAATTTTCAGTTTCGGCACCAGAATTTTAATTTCAGTGCACCATTAACCACCAGTATCCACTATTGGGCACAAGCGATTGGAGGGACATCTCCCTACCCACCCACCTACAACCAGTGACTGATCCAGTCAGTCCAGTGCGGTCTTCAGCACAAACTGATAAAAATAAAAAGGCTTCCTCCAAATGGCTGAGCAGCGTCCAACTTGATTTTATTCCAGGAATAAGAAGGGAAGCCCTTAGCTTGCTGCTGGAACACAGTGCTGCATACTATATGTAGTGGATGTTGCCTAGAGTGCTCTCAGCAAGCATAACTGTTTAGGAAGATATAGTGTAAAGGACAGAAACTGTATAATTATTATCCTCCCCCTACAGCTGCAGAATCAGGAAGATGTACACACTTGGAAACATGAGAGCCCAGCTTAATTCTTCCGGTGGCCCCTTAAGTGGTCTTAACCCCAAAAACAAGGATGAACTTCTCATCACACGATCACCGATGGTCTCTCACAGTGGTCACATGATCAGGAACCTGTCCGGCTGATCAAAAACAGAGACTGGCAGCTGGGGTCACTAGGGGAATGGAGTAAGCATGCTCTCAGCACAGAAACCTCGGTCTTCATAGACACACAGACCCACCTGCCCTGTTGCCACACATGTGCACTATGTGGTCAGAAAGAGGTTAAAAATAAGAAAAATAATTGACCCAGCTTGGAACATTATTTAAAATGGATCACAGAATCTCCATGAGCAATTTTATTTGTCTACCTGCCTATGTATTTGGACATGTCTGGTGTCAGGGACCATCAGGACGCATGGGTCTACACAGGCGTAGGTGTCTGCCAAGACGTGTAGGTGGCAGGGCACTAGGACCCAGGCGCACCCGTCATCTTGACAGTACTAGGCAGGCACTAGGACCTAGGCTGCGCCTGTCAGGTGCAGGGCAGGCTATTTAAGCCAGCTCTGCACAAACACTTGTTGCCGAATGGTCTTTTGTATCCTGTTACCTGTGTTGTGAAGTACTCTGATCTGGATTGTCTGACCTTGCTGCCTTCTTCTGTCCTGAACCCTTGGCTTGCCCGACTCTGCTCCTGGATGTTCCCTTATAGATCTGATCTTCTGGTATTGACCCTGCGTGTGACCCGACTATCCTTTGCCTACTGTCTTGTACCTCACCGACCTGCTAGTAACCGACACGGCTTGTTTGACTCTGACTTTGCTCTTCCGTCCATCCATCCCTCAGGGATCCCTGAGTTCCCTCATATCAGACTCTTAACCTGCAGGAGCCCTTGGCAGACTCCTCTACCTCTGGTAGAGATACCTAGCAGCTGCGACCTGGTCCCGGAGCGCTCCAAGTCCATCCCCACCATCAGGGGCCCTGGTGAACAAGTGCTTTCGGTACTTAGACTCCGCACTCAGGGGACTGATAGAGGTGCTGTCAGGCGGTCCGTTACATCTGGAGTTCAGATTTTAATCCTCACAGTATAAATGAGGCCTAAAAGATTTTTTTTTTTTTGCAAATACCAAAAAAAAAAGAAAATGCTATTTTTAGACCTAACAAGGTTCTGTTACTTATTTTAGTATGTGCGGTGACAGTCCATCACCTGTTCTGGTTTTAAGACTTTGATCCTCTTGAAACGAACGATCATTTCTCATGTACGGGTCTTCATGATCATCTTCAGTCTTGATTACAATTTCAGGTTTTGGATGAACAGGGCCTAAGATATACAAAGAAGAGCGATATACAAATTGTCGATCTTTTTTTTTTTTTTTTTTTATAAAGCTAAAAATAAAAAAAAAAAGTACAGGCAATCCAATACCACCAAAAGAAAGCTCAATTCATGGGAAAAAAAAAAGGACATAAATTTAATTTGGGTGCAGCGTTGCATGACCGCGCAATTGTCAGTTAAAGCAACGCAGTGCTGTAATGCAAAACATGGCCTGGTCAGGAAGGGGAGTAAATCCTCTGGATTGGTTAAAGACCTTGTCCAGGATAAAGATGTCAACGTACGGAACCATAGGGCTCAGTAAGAGGCCAGGCACAGGACACACGTATGCTGAATATTCTTTAACCGACTGTAGCTTTTCAAAAGAGAAAAGATCGTCGGCACCTTTACAGAGAGGCCTGTTTCTAAACTTTATAATATACGACAGTCGCTTAAAGCGTTGAGAGTAAGAAATGTTTATTGTGCATTAGTGGGATGGATGGATAGATAGTCGAGTCCCAGGACAACAAAATATGAAACTAGGGATGCATGGGCAATTTCGGCCACCGAAACATACCGAATGAAAATTTAGCCGATACAGGTTCCAATACAGAAGACTGTGTGTACTGCAGATGTGGGGGGGAGAAACAGCTGAGAAAGGCAGGAGAGGAGCAGTGTATACAATGACTAGCTGTCACTATGGGGTTTATTTACTAAAGCTGGAGAGTGCAAAATCAGACTCCCTTCTGGATAGAAACCAATCAGCTTCTAACCTCAGCTTGTTCAATGAAGCTTTGGTAATGAAACCTGGAAGCCGATTGGTTTCTATGCAGAAGTGAGTCTGATTTTGGACTCTCCAGCTTTAGTAAATAAACCCCTATATGTCAGTGCCAGTTTTTAAATGTAATTACCTTTTTCTTTTCTTCACTACAGCTCACAGAATTACAGTATTTTCTGGCGTATAAGACTACTTTTTATACTTAAAAATATACCCCAGAAATTGGGGGTCGTCTTATACACGGGGTATAAAATGTGAACCTTGAGTTTGTTTGGGTCAAGCTGACTGGATGTGTGGTAATACTGTACATAAAGTATACCGTGCTGAGCCAAGCTGGCTCAAAACAAATGTCCCTATGACAGATTAATCTGTCAGCCAGCTGGATGTGTGGTATATACAGTATACTGAGCCAAGCGGTTTCAAAATGTACGGTACGTCCCTACTGTAATCAGCCCGCTGGATGCGTGTATGTACGGTAGCTGTGGCTACATACAGTATACACTGGGCCAATCACGGCGAGTGATGTATTCTACTAATGAATACAAAGCCTGCTCGGATTGGCTGAGTCAGAGAGGTGGGCTGATGATGTCACAACCTCAGCCAATCCGAGCAGGCTTTGTATTCATTAGTAGAATACATCGCTTGCCATGATTGGTCAAGTGTATACTGTATGTAGCCACAGCTACCGTACATACACACATCCAGCGGGCTGATTACAGTAGGGACGTACCGGTACATTTTGAAACCGCTTGGCTCAGTATATTGTATATACCGCACATCCAGCGGGCTGACAGATTAATCTCTCATAGGGACATTTGTTTTGAGCCAGTTGGCTCAGCGCGGTATACTGTATGTACATTACTGCACATCCAGCGGGCTGTATATATACTGTATACTGTATGTAGCCGAAGCTACCGTATTACCGCACATCCAGCGGTAGCCATCTGACTTGGAATTTGATCCATATGATGACTGTCTTACAAATGTATCACAAGATGTCATTCATGAACTTATGATGTCAGAGGATGAACATGAGGGATTTTGAAGGATTTTAAGTACTGGTAAGTCATAACCATTTCAATTAAAAAATCTGATGTTTTTTAATGGTGTTGCCTCGGAAGGGGGGTAGTCTTATACGGCGAGTATAGCCCAAAACCTATGTTTTAACTGGAAAATTAGGGGGTCGTCTTATACACCCAGTCGCCTTATACGCCGGAAAATACGGTAGTTGTCATTTTCACCCCAGCTAAAAGAAACCAAGTTTCCTTTTAGTTTCTTTCCCAAGTTAAAAGAATCATCGTTTCCTGCTAGTTTCTTTCCTCAGATAAAAGAAACAAAAAGTTTCCTTTTAGTTTCTTTCCCAAGTTAAAAGAAACAATGTTTCCTGCTAGTTTCTCTCCTCAGATAAAAGAAACAAAAGTTTCCTTTAGCTGGGGGGACAGCTAACTCTGTGAGCTATAAAAAACAAAAAAAAAAAAGCCAGCAATTTAATTTAAAAATCGGCACTGACATATAGGGGTTTATTTACTAAAGCTGGAGAGTCCAAAATCAGACTCCCTTCTGCATAGAAACCAATCAGCTTCTAACCTCAGCTTGTCAATGAAGCTTTGGCAATGAAACCTGGAAGCTGATTGGTTTCTATGCAGAAGGGAGTCTGATTTTGGGCTCTCCAGCTTTAGTAAATAAACCCCATAGTGACAGCCAGTGAGGGAGCCTCTCTGTATACACTACTCATCTCCTGCCCCCTCCTTGCACACACTGCCCCCCCCCCCACCCCCTCCCCCCTACAAAGAGGACCTGTCGCTCATATGCTATCACATAGGGGACTATTGGTCCCTTATGTGATAGCAATAAAATCATAAGTTTAAAAATAAACAAATAAAAAAATTCGAGCCTCCACACCCCCACATACGCAGACATTTAGGTTTCGGTTCAGTTTTCGGCATGCATTTTGAATTTTCAGCATCGGTTTCGGCACCAGAATTTTCATTTCGGTGCACCACTATATGAAATGGTTCCTGACCACACGACAGCATAACACAGGGATCTCCAAATAAAATACACAGATATTACCAACGTTATTTTCGGGGATGCGTTTCCTACGGTCAGACTTCCGTTTCCTTCGGATACAGGTCTCTTCGCTTTGTTCAGTCTTGATGTCCACTTCACGCTTTATTCTGTCACCACCTTGAATAGAAAGAGACGGGAAGTGTTTCCAGCTACAGAAGAGAAAAGCAGTAAGTTTCACAGACTGAGCATGTTCCTTTTAAATCAAACAACATAAGAAGAGGGCGCAGCAACCTTAGTGCATTACCAAAATAACAATTTATTTAAAACGTGTAAAAGAGGTCATCTATTCACAAACACGTAACATATAATAGGATGCAGACAAGGTCACCTCTCCATGTCCACGGTACTCAGCTGGTGGAACGGGAAGTCTCCGTAGCGTTCTATAGCTTACTTGTTTTGAGGGTCGGACCCCCTTCTTCAGGCTCTGATGAAGAGCGTCTGACAATCGAAACGCGTAAACCTTAGGACGCTACAGAGACTTCCCATATCGCTGGCCGAGTAAAGTGAACCTGGAGGTCTTGTCTGCATCCTATTATATGCCAATGCATGTCATGTGTTTGTGAATAAATTACCTCTTTTACACATTCTAAATAAATTGTTATTTTGGTAATGCACTAGGTTAGTGCGCCCTCTTCTTTTGTTGTTGATTTCAGTGTATGCAAGGACACCCACAGTCCTGTGGTTTCGTGGACACCCACATATTTACATAGTTAGTCTGGCTGAAAAAAAAAAAAAAAAGACAAACATCCATCCAGTTCAACCATTAAATAAAAAAAAAAAAAAAGTGCTATAATCCTATACCCCCAGTTAATCCACAGGAAAAAAAAAAAAAACAGCAAAGCATGATCCAATTTGCTCCTGCAGGGGAAAAAAAATCCTTCCTGATCCCCCGAGAGGCAATCGGATATTCCCTGGATCAACTTTACCTATAAAAATGTTATATCCAGTTATATTCTGTGTATCCAAGAAAGAATCCAGGCCTTTCCTACAGCAATCAGTGGATGCTGAGAATGTGTTTTGCCTGACTGGCTAGTAGATATGGCGCCAAAGGTCTTGACTCCCTCAAAAGTTGGTTCTGGCCAGCTAAGTGGAGCTGGCCAGAACCAACTCTTGAGGGAGTCAAGACCTTTGGCGCCATATCTACTAGCCAGTCAGGCAAAACCAGGGGCGGACTAACCATTTGGAAACTCGGGCATTGCCCGAGGGCCTAGGGTCAGTAGGGGGCCCCATGAGATGCCCCTGGTACCTTTTTCATAGGCTTTTTTGAGCTTGGGCAAGGACACAGGGGCCCCATGATCCCCTATTGCCCGGGGGGCCCCATGAGTTGTCAGTCTGCCCCTGGGCAAAACACATTCTCAGCACCACAATTAAGTGCAGGTTTTATTACTTGTTCCTTTTAAAGCCTGACCCAAAAATGAATTAGTCCAGAGAGTGTGCATGTGCACCAGGCATAGGAGGAGTGTCTTGCAAAGGCTATGCAGAGCCAGGCAAGGCTTCATTTAACCCCTTCCAGTCCGGACACTTTTACCCCCTTCCTGTCCAGGCCAATTTTCAGCTTTCAGCACTATCACACTTTGAATGACAGTTGCGCGGTCATGCAACACTGTACCCATATTAATTGTTTAGCATTTTTTTGAGACAGATAAAACTTTATTTTGGTGGTATTTATTCACCACTGGGATTTTTATTTTTTTGCTATATACGTAAAAAAGTCCAAAATTTTTTTAAAAAAGTTTTTTCTATAAGATTTTGCAAATAAATCTTTTTTCATAAATCTTGGCCAAAATGTATTCAGTTATCTTTTTAGTAAAAAAAAAAAAATAGCCCAAATTAGTTTATAAACCAAAAATTATACATTTTTTTTTTTTATTATTGTTTGTTTTTTTTTACATACTGTCACCCTAGCAGTACAACGTCACCATGGTGACACTACTACTTGTGGGGGGTGATGAAGGCTGTAAAAGCAATCATTTCTCCTTCTCTCTGGCTGCATTCTTGCAGCCATTGAGAAATACTGTGTGAGCTGTGATTGGTCACAGCTTGTCACATGGTACAGGCCTGTTGTAATAGCCTTGTACCATGTGACCTCTGTGATCATTCACAGATTTCACACGTAGTAAGTAATGATGTCAGAAGTGACATTTTGCTTACTACTCTTCATGTGATCACTGATTGGCCAATCAGTGATCACATGATCGGGACCTCACACAGAGGTCCCGTTCAACGATCGGTGTTCATCTGTGTCCGGAGGACACAGCGGGCACCGGATTGCGGTACAGCGAGCTCCCAGGGAGCGCGCACAAGCAGGAAGGCCGTTTATAAACGGCCACCCACCCCTGCACTGCTCTCGTCTGGCCGTTTATATACATGGGTCGGACGGGAAGTGGTTAAACAAAGATAATGTCTAACATTTTAATGGGGAAATATTTAGTAGTTTTAAAGAGAAACTGTTACTTTGCCTATTCAGGGCAAAGCGACTTTGCTTCCCGATAGCCCACCCCTCCCCCATTTAAGTACACTGGCCCATCCATGTTCCTTCACTGCCTCCTTGCTTTAAAGTGTTACTAAACCCACAACAGTGAAATCAGTCTGTAGATGCAGGAAAGCATGCTTGTTATACTCACTGTGGAACCTAAGGGGTTAATCCTCTGCATTGTGTAAAAAGGACGTTTGATCCTGTCTTCTCTGTTCGTCCCATTTTTCAAGCGACCACCACTTATCTCCAGACTGAACTGTAGGCATGCACATGCTCAGTTTGCGGTGTATTGCTAGAGAGGTTTTCTTTTTATCTTGGGGGAGTGCATGTGATTAGCACAGGGCCAATCAGCACTGTCCAGACAGAGGTCAGGGGATTTGTATCCACCAAGAGCAGAACAAAAACTCCTCCTACAAGCTTTAGCTGGTGCTGGGCAGGACACGGAAAGAAGTCACAAGACTGCTTTAACTTCTGATGAGAATAGGTATTTAGCAGTTTATATTTGCTAAAATAATTGCACTTCCATGTTCTGTGGGAGACCAGATATAGTGAATGCGGGGTCTGGGGAGAGCAGATATAGTGAATGCAGGGTCCGGGGAGAGCGGATATAGTGAATGCAGGGTCCGGGGAGAGCGGATATAGTGAATGCAGGGTCCGGGGAGAGCGGATATAGTGAATGCAGGGTCCGGGGAGAGCGGATATAGTGAATGCAGGGTCCGGGGAGAGCGGATATAGTGAATGCAGGGTCCTGGGAGAGCGGATATAGTGAATGCGGGGTCCGGGGAGAACGGATATAGTGAATGCGGGGTCCGGGGAGAGCGGATATAGTGAATGCGGGGTCCGGGGAGAGCGGATATAGTGAATGCAGGGTCCGGGGAGACCGGATATAGTGAATGCAGGGTCCGGGGACCGGATATAGTGAATGCAGGGTCCGGGGAGAGCGGATATAGTGAATGCAGGGTCCGGGGAGAGCGGATATAGTGAATGCAGGGTCCGGGGAGAGCGGATATAGTGAATGCAGGGTCCGGGGAGAGCGGATATAGTGAATGCAGGGTCCGGGGAGAGCGGATATAGTGAATGCAGGGTCCGGGGAGAGCGGATATAGTGAATGCAGGGTCCGGGGAGAGCGGATATAGTGAATGCAGGGTCCGGGGAGAGCGGATATAGTGAATGCAGGGTCCGGGGAGAGCGGATATAGTGAATGCAGGGTCCGGGGAGACAGGATATAGTGAATGCAGGGTCCGGGGAGACAGGATATAGTGAATGCAGGGTCCGGGGGGAGCGGATATAGTGAATGCAGGGTCCGGGGGGAGCGGATATAGTGAATGCAGGGTCCGGGGGGAGCGGATATAGTGAATGCAGGGTCCGGGGAGACCGGATATAGTGAATGCAGGGTCCGGGGAGACCAGATATAGTGAATGCAGGGTCCGGGGAGACCAGATATAGTGAATGCAGGGTCCATGGAGACCAGATATAGTGAATGCAGGGTCCATGGAGACCAGATATAGTGAATGCAGGGTCCGGGGAGACCAGATATAGTGAATACAGGGTCCGGGGAGACAGGATATAGTGAATGCAGGGTCCGGGGGGAGCGGATATAGTGAATGCAGGGTCCGGGGGGAGCGGATATAGTGAATGCAGGGTCCGGGGAGACCGGATATAGTGAATGCAGGGTCCGGGGAGACCAGATATAGTGAATGCAGGGTCCGGGGAGACCAGATATAGTGAATGCAGGGTCCGGGGAGACCGGATATAGTGAATGCAGGGTCCATGGAGACCAGATATAGTGAATGCAGGGTCCTGGGTTTAGTAACACTTCAAGGCTCTAATTGAGCAGGCAGGGCTACTAGGTAGCCAATTGCTAGGCCTGAACAACACTGCGTGTGCATGGAGGGGTAATGATATCATCTAATCATGTAGGTTCAAACACTACAGCATACTTAGGGCAGATTCCAGCAGTGGGATAGGAGAGCATGGATTGGGGGGGGGGGGGGGCTATAGGAAGGCACTTTCACAGAATGAGCGGGCGACAGTATCCCTTTGAAATGGTGCTTACCCTTGTTTCTCTACATGATCACATATTGCTTATATACACGACTCCTGATGACACAGATTACTTACCTGTATTGCTCATTGGAATCTGGTTATTCTGAGGATTGTAGATTTCTTCCTCCTCTACCTTCACCACCACCCCCGGCCCCACCACAGTACATTCTGCAAGCGGAAACGTGATAGTTTAGCCTAACAATCTTTAATCATCAAATACTGGTTATGAAAAACTTGTGGTGCTTACCAAGGGGCTTGATGGAATGGTAATGCTCCATCATCACTCCTTAAAGTCAGCTACTCCTGATAGGAAAAAGGGACTTCTGTGCAGGTGGTCTATTCTGCAGGTTGTTCATTAAACTCCAAGCGCTCCTGAAATCGCAGAAAAATAAACGGGATGATCTACAGATATGATGTGTTAGGGATTCAGTGATTGGTCTGATTGTAACCCCCTTTGCAGTAAATCTATTACATAGATGTGACCCAAGTATTCACAGTACATATAACAGGGATGTGGGATTTGTATCGCCCGATGACTGGGACATGCGGTTCTGGGCGCAGGGCAGGTAGTTTTTTGTTTCTAGTTAGCCCTACTG